AAACAATCAATAACAAAGCCTTCAGTCTGCAACGGTGAAGACAACTTCACGGCAAAGCACTAGAGTACAGCTGGTTCGCTCGCTCTCAAACTAATCTCTGAACACTACTACTGAACTCAACATACATTTTTCTCCGCGTAGAGGCTGGGTATATATAGCTTCAGCGTGCCTTCGAGAGCATTCCCGAAGAAAACCCCTAAGAAGGCGTTCAAGAATGTTCTCGATCCGTCTATGGCATATCGCCAATGTTGCCGGCAGTTGGGCGATTTTGCACCAAATCTGGTAACCCTACTTTTCTTTGCCACTTTCTGGCAACCCTAATTCCGCTCTGCGGGGAAGCTATCTTCCCCGCAGAGGCTAGGCATTTCGCAACAGTACTATATTGGGTCCGCCATTTAAGTGAAGAAGAATAGAATGCTTTTGAATACTACAAACGTGACTAGAAATATGGATCAAAAACTGAGTGAGTCAGTAGAAATGTTTAATTTATTCGCATTTTCCTGCGTCATGACTCCGCCGACGCAGTGGGGAATATCGTGTCCATGTGCTTCGATATTTTAACAGATAACTAAAAATGGTTAGTCAGAATGTGTCCATAAAGAACTGAATCCAAATAAGATTTCCTTAAGTATTAATTATGATAAGCCTATATATATATGTTCTATAAGCAACAAATAAGCCATTTGGAATATATTAACCTTTGACGAAGCATGGATCAATTTATACCGATCACCAGATAAATGACAATCAAAGCATTGATTTGGATGAGGTATAAATGACCACAATTCCATGGGCAAAATATAGAACCGGTTGTTATTGATCTTACCCATGAATTTGTACAATTATTAGAATTTTTTAAGCAGGAGATGTGAAAAATGTCCAATGTCTTCGGCGGGACTCTAACCTAGACCTCTCGAATACAAGCCGAGTGTGCTACCTTTAAACCACGAAAGCATGCTGGAAAGGAGAGAGAAAATACCTTTTATAATCCCCCTTTTAAAGGATGACTGGGGATTAGGGACCCAATCGCCAAATCCTGATGGTGAAGAATCATCATCGACTAGCTTTTGTTAGTTGGCCGCCACTGTAAATTTATTAGGTTATTCTAAGCAGGATGTGAGAAAAATGTGCATTGTTCTGTCCGGGACTCGAACCTGGACCTCTCGAATACGCGCTGAGTGAGTTACCCTTACACCGCAAAGGCATACCGAAAGGAGGGAGAAAATACCTTCTAAATCGTACGGATAACCTCTTTTCAGAGTTCCTGAAGTTAATAGAAACTAAATCATGAACGGTATTCTCAGTTATTTAATATTGGTTGCATATGTTTATCGGTTTCTGGGCGATAAAATATTCAGAAAGTTTTTCATCCGGTTGCTATATAACAACGCAAAATCTCACTGGCCCGGAACTGAACTCAGAGCAGTAATACCGAGCGTTAATTTAAAGAAATGCAAAATCTTAAATACTTCAAAATTATTTTATTTTCGAGATTTCAATGTATGTCATGAAGATTATGTTCATTAGCTGAAGAGAGATACTTGTAGTGTAGCATTTTTGAATTCATATTCTCTGTTTAGGAATTTGGGATCCGAAAGCTTGAGTTGGATTTAAAATACAATATTTTCTAAGTTTCTGTCCTTCTGCCCAATGTCTGCACTACCTTATTTATCATTTTAATCGTGATATGTACTACATTCTTATTTATCAGTATAATTATTTAGAATTTTATTGATTTATAAAGTCCCAATAGTGAGGAAAAAAGAAGAAAATAGTAGTATAAAAATAAGATGTCATACAGAACAAACAATTAATAAAGAATATTTAATATAGTATATCATGGATATATTTGATAGAGAGCAAAAACAGGATGCAATAGAAAACAAAACAAAACAAAACAAAAAAATCGCAGTAATGGGGAAGTAAACGCATTTCTGTAGTATTTCTCTTGAATTCAAACAAGAGCTCTGAGAACAAAATGTCATGTTCTTTGAAAGACCATACATTCACTCTCATGCAGAGGGCGTTATTTTAAACTATTTTTTTCCCCACCTGCGTTAGTAATCAATCATTCAATCTTCCAAACCTGCACGGAATTGCATCTTATTGTGCTGTTCGCACTTTATACGAAGGTGCAGCTATGTTTTCACCAGTATAGTATAAGTAGTTGATAGCAAATACATTTATGTAATGGTTAAATAGGAGAGTTTCTGTTTTGACATAGAGAATCAAAATCATTTGGAAATGCAAATCATCGTGTTTACAGAAATTTCACTGTAATTATTCTGATTTTAAGGCATTGGATTCCTTAATAAAAAGAAATAGTTGAAAATGAAGTTACGAGAAAATGTACTTGTTGAAATATATCCGTTTAAGACTATAATAATTAAAATCTAAGCTGCGATATTAGTATTAGGTTACACTGAGAAGTAACTATGAAAGCTTGCGAAAACATGAATATTGCTTTTCTATAGAATTTCCAATTATATAGAATTTTCCGTTTAAATCCGTGTAATAATTAAAAAGCGGATACATCCGTTTAGTTCAAATCTCAATTTATCTGCCGTAATACTCAAATCATCATCCATAAAACGTCCCATCATACTATATGACTGCGAGTGCTGGGCAATGACTCAAATAATTGAAATAAAACTACTTAGCTTTGCACGTCAAATACTAAGAAAAATATTTGGCGCTGTTTGTGAAAATGGTGATTGGAGATCAATGTATAATCACGAAATCTACCGAACATTTAGACAGCCTTATAATTACCAAGGTCATAAAAAGCCACAGGATTCGATGGCTGGGTCATTTATACAGAACTGAAGACACAAACCCTGTAAAAGAACTCATATTTAACAAACCTATGGGAGCTAGAAAGCGAGGAAGGCCACCAATTAGGTGGCTTGATGCTGTTGAGGATGACATTAATACCATAGCATACGGAAGACTAGAGGAGTATTGCTATGAATAAGTCCAGATGGGCCTTGGTCAGACTGATTGAGACGGCCTTGGTCAGCAGCAAGCTGTACTGCCTCAGAAGAAGATACACCCGTTTAAAAAAGGTCTCTAATTAATTAAAAGCTGATACGTTCAGGTGAAATACATCTGTTAGGGACGGTAATAATTAAAAGCTAAACTACAATACTACTCGTAGTATTAGGTTCAGTGAAAAGTAACTATGAACTGGCGAAAACAATTGCGACTTTCGTAAATTTACGTCTTGAAATTCGTCCGTTTAAGACGCTAATAATTAAAAACTAAACTACTATACTAGTATTAGTTATATTGAAAAGCAACTATGGACTGGCGAAAACATGAATATTGCTTTTATATAGAATCATCCGCTTGCTTTTATATAGAATTTCCGTTTATAGAGAATTTTCCATTTACATCCGTTTAGGACTGTAATAATTAAAACCTAATACTTCAGTTTGAAATACATCTGTTTAGGACTATAACAGTTAAAATATAGTTAGTATTAGGTTACTGTGAAAAATAACTATGGACTTACAAAAACAAGAATACTGCTTTTATATATTTTCTGCTTGCTTTTATATAGAATTTTATGTTTACATCCGTTTAGAACTATAATAATTCAAAGCAAATACGTCAGTATTAAATACATCCGTTCAGGGCTATAATAGTCAAAATCTAGCCCTGAAAAATAATTATGGATTTGCAAAAACATGAAAACTGCTTTTATATAGAAATTTTCGTTTGCTTTTACATAGAATTTCCGTCTACATAAAATTTTCCGTGTAAATCCGTTTAGGGATATAATAATTAAAAGCTAATGCCTCCGTTTCAAATACATCCGTTTAGAACGGTAATAATTAAAATCTAAACTACGATACTAGAATCAGGTTACACTGAAAATTGACTATGGGCATGCAATAGCACAAATATTGCTTTTACATAAAATTTTAATATGCAAAGGAACAGTTTTCCAAACTTTCTCATGCGAAGACATGCATTTATATAATAAAATCTTGCAAGACATCTACAGCTAATGGAAAGAAGGAATAAGTATGTAGAAAAGGAAATTAAAAGTGAGCTAGCTACATTTGCTACAAGACAAACCATTATTAATTGGGGTGCGCATTAATTGTATGCTGTGATCCACGCTTGTAAATTACTTTTGATTTCAGAGATCCGAATCAAAAATCTCGTTATAAATATTCATACAGTTTAAAACATAGAATGATAGCAATACAGAAAATCTACACTGTTATCATAATTAGAAATATAATTAATTTAAGAATTTTAAACTTTGTAATTTACAATTATCTTCATATAATATATAAGGAAATCAATTAGATGAGAAATAAAGATATAGCAGATAACATGGAAACTTGATTTCGTTCTGTAGAATTCAAGGAGGTTAGAGTAGATGGAGTAAGCCTGACGTTACAAAAGTAAAGCCAAGGAAATATCGGCAACGTGACACCATGACATTTCATGGCCGCCGTACAGAATACGGATATGACTACGAAATATACGAAAGATATTGTTAAATAAACTTACACTGACTTTGACAGCCACTATCAACATCCGCAGGCTGAGAAAAGTGTCTTTAGGCATAATTTGCACAAAATGCCGTTGAAATTTTCATTGATCTTCCATGTTTTACCATGTGTAAATTTGTTTTATAGTTACAATTTACACATTTTCAGGTACCTAAATTTTATTAAATTTTAATCAGTTATTTTGCAATCCTTGTAATTTTTCTATATACTAAGTAGAAAATCTTTTACGGAAGATGTATAAACGTTCAATGATGAATAGCTAATGTAGACAATACTGATTAGAATGGGAACAAAATCAACGAGATGTCCGCTTATGGCAGCGGCCATGATAAGTCATGACGTCATACCGTGGCGTTTCATGGCTTCATTTCATTGCAAGGGACTTGCGTGCGAGGGTTACTCCATTTCTTCTAACCTCCTTGGTAAAATTAAATTTTTGGGCTTGCTAAATAAAGGAGAAAAAGCCTGCAATTTTGTTTTAACTTCTTTATTTTAGAGAACACAATAATTTAAAAAAAATAAAGCATTTCGGTTGCATTATTTTCAATACTGTAATTAGCAGAAGCTTTTAACACGCAAACATTCAGAACAGTATTTAATTTTAATATAAACTAACTAAATTAGATCTTCTGAAATAAATCCATTTTGTTTTCATCAGAGACTAGATTCCGGATTTAGAACGGTTACTGAAAAATCATTTTGAGGGAAATATGTGTAGAATTTATTTCCTACTAAATATTAGTCACTCAAGCAACTGTACAAAAGCATTTCGTATGCACTCAAACAAGTAAATGACGCCACATAAAATGTAATTTTGAATTGTTCAACCAAATTTTAGTTATAAATTCTGAAACAAACATGACTTTTCAGTCATCGTCGCTTTCAGAGTCACTTTCTTCACACTTGCACTTCTTTCGACCCTTTTTCGTCTTCACCTTCGACTCACTTTCTTCACTGTCTTCGCTTTCTTTCCTCTTCCTAAAACATAAATATCGGAAAATTAAGTCTGAGAATTTGTCGCTTAGAATGATAACATTTTAATAATATCATATATTATAGATAAATCATGAAATTAAAAACTAATGATTATTATTTTCCGTAATTATTTAAATTACGTCATTCACATAATTAGCCCAAAACGGCTTTATCCTAAGTCTCGAAACAGGATTTTGCTTCGTGCACTATAAGCGGTTGTATTACTTTTCAAATTGTTGCCACCAAATATTATCGTCCTATATTATTTTTAAAAAAATTACGCAACAAAGAATCTGCATGCATGTATGTAAATTCCTCTCACTGTGAAGAAAAACCAGTACCGACGGTACCAAAGCCATCAGATTTTGAGTAACGTAATCCTTCACCCGGACGTGTGCACCAGAAAGCTCGAGTTTTGAATTTCGAATTTTATACCTTGATGAATTTTTGATTAACGATTTGAAAGCAAGCGGTAGGTAGGTAGGTTACGGAGGACTGGAACTTTTGGTGTCTAACAGAGGTAAACAGGCATGTGTTCCACGCTCAAAGCGAGCGGTAGTAATACCTTCTTAAACAGAAGAAGGTATTGGAAGTAAGCTACACTATACGAAAAACAACATTTTTATGTCCAGCCTACGAGACTGTTGATCGGAAATTCTAAAGATATGCTATTTTTAAATATTTTTTATGTTACCGTTGAATTGAGCTTTATGGTGGGGGATAAGTGCGAAGAACATGATATTTTATTAATAAATTTAACACACAAAACATTAATAATAAAAAGAGAAAAAATTTGCAAGCCATCTTATTACGAAAAATAAACACTGATAAATTGAACTAAGAATTGCCCCCAAAATGCAGAAAAATAGATTTCAATACTTAATGCTGCATCGCAAACTCTAAGCATATGCTGCTATTAAAAGTTTTATAATTTTGCTGCTTAATTGTAAATGGCGTAATTGTGAGGTTACAGCCAAAAACATCGCGGACGAAAGCGTCGCAGAGAAAACAACGAAAGGCGAAAACATCGTGTGCTACAAACATCGTGGGAGAAAACATCGCAAAGAGAAAACATCGCAGTTCTAAAACATCGTGGTACAAAACATCGTCGTCGAAAATAAAGCAGTTAAAAAACTTCGCAGTTTGAAAACATCGTCGTTGAAAATATCGTGGTAAAAAAATAAAGTATCTACAAATCATCGCATGACGATAACATCGCAGACATGCTTTTTTCAGGCTTTAAAAACTGTAAATAGATATTCCCATAAAAATTTGTGAGCGCAAGATGTAAAGAAGGATAATTTTTATTTTCACATTTTTTTATTAACTAATAAATTTTTGCTGAAAAAGTAAGAAGGAAACTTAAGCATAGAAAATTAAATGCAACTTATAGATTATACTTTTTATGAAAAATTACCAGTAAAAACTTTTTAAAAATGATTTATTAATGGTCTTTGTTAGTTAACTAAGTCGGTTTAAAATTCTATTAAGTGCTATAAGTTGCATTAATTTTCTATGTTTAAGTTTCCTTCTTATTTTCTTAGCAAAAATTTATTAGTTAATATAAAGTATGAAAAACAAATTATCCTTCTTTCTATCTTGCGCTCTCAAATTATTATGGGAATATCTATTTACAGTTAAAGTCTGAAAAAAGCATGTCTGCGATGTTATCGTCACGCGATGATTTGTAGATACTTTATTTTTTACCACGATATTTTCGACTACGATGTTTTTAAACTGCGAAGTTTTTGAACCGCTTTATTTTCGACGACGACGTTTTGTATCACGATGTCTTAGAACAGCGATGTTATTATCTCTTTGCGATGTTTTCTCCCACGATGTTTTGTAGCACGACGTTTTCGCCTTGCGTTGTTTTCTCTGCGACATTTTCGTCCGCGATGTTTTTACCGCGATGTTATCGGCGGACACCAATTGCGAAGAAAATGATGCTTAATAATAAAGCTAAAATGACAAAAATAAATGGGTAAGCAGGAGCGAGTGCAACAGTAGACTGATAGATTGTGAGCTTAGCGACGGCGTAAAAAAACCTAAATAAACCCTTTTGAGCGACCGTTAAAATCTGAATCTTTCCAGACTTTTTTTTTTTTTTTAAATTTTTATTTTATTTCTAAACAAAACTCACAAATAAATGTAACAAGACAAGTCTGTCCAATTCTTTCATCAGTATGATGCCCATTTTTGGGGTGGTCAGTGATGTAATGTACTGAGACGTCGAAAAAAAATAAAATATAGTTATATTGTGGTGTTGCGCGGCCCCAACCTACACGCAACAATAATAGTGACTGCTATGAACTGGAAAGTACACAAAACTCTTAAGAAGGGTTTAACTCCCTTTTTATTCTACTTTAGAAGATACAGATGCTTGCACTTGACGCTCACAAACTACGCCGACCCGGCGGTAAAATAAAAATAAGAAACTAAAAATGAATAATAACAAGTTACCACCTACGAGGCTCTCTAAACGTAACTAACCTAACCGCGTTCTAAGATACCGCTGATATTTCAGCAAACTTTCTGAAAATTAAGTTGAAAGATTCAACTATCTGCCGAGGCAAGCACACAGGCCGAAACGCGCGGTTCTTCTATTTCTACCTAGCCACCTTCACGCTCGTGAAGCAAGAAAGCACACTTACGAACTCGTTTCCCTTCTATTTAACTCAAATTACTTCCACTGACAATTTGAATACTTTGCGCGTTCTACTAAAATTTACATACTCTGGCATTGGCAATTCCAGGGAAAAATAAGGCTTGACAGAAAAGATAGTTTAAACTTAAAATAAATGTTAGTTAAAATAAATATAAACCCTACAATATAATGCCACTGTTATAAATTTTTGTAAACATTTGTGCTTTTTTGTTTATACCTTGTGTTTTTTTTAAGTACTTTAAATTTGTTGTGTTTTAACTTCTGATGCTTTTATTTACCTATCTGGCACACGTTTTGCAGTAATTTTACTTCTGTTTCTGTTTAATTCATGGACTATTTTGTGAACATATTAATACTGATTCAAACAATTTATTTGTAAGATAGCTCAAACAGAATATTAGGTATAAACAGAAACATCCGTATTGGACTTTAATGACAATATTTACTGTCGAGTTGACATTCACGATTTTACGCCAACTTACTAACATTCTGGAAGCTTCTTTCCGGAAAATGAATTTTCAAAGTACGAAATGCGATTTTTCTGGAAAGTTCCGGACTAAGGATTGGATTGGATTATTTAATTATGGCAAAGCACACGAGGGCTATCTGCCTAAAGGGAGGGATGCCTTCGTGGAAGACTTTCTAAGAGAAACTGGCTCGTATGCACGTTACACACGGGTAAAACCACGAAAACGCCCATGCAGCCAGTCTGTTCGCGGGATTCGAACCTCGGACCGAACTACCAGTGTTCAGCGTCTTTACCGCTCGGTCGTTGGTGGGCACGTTCCGCACTAAGTGTCCTTTTCCTTTAATAAAGATAATTAAGACTTCTTTGCTATGACGCTGTATTTGCAACGTGAGCTCATTTCTGAGTTACGAGTTCGATTTAGAGTCGGCCAGATGAACTAAATTTCTTATTTGTAATATTACCTTTTCTGTTTGATGATTTCTGCTTTAGGCTACTACAGTAGAAAGCATAACCGTCTGCTTTAGACTGAAAGGGTTTTGTTTTAGCAATCTGCTTATTCTTGTGTATTAAAGCGAATTATCGTATATCGGTACTTTCTGAACTATAAATATCTGTTATCTTATCTGTAGGAGCAATTATTAGTCTAAAATTTAAGTATATGTTTAAAATTTTCTCTTCCGATCTTCTTTAAAGAGATCTGTGCAAAAGCAGAGCATGTCGTAATATAACAGACAATTTCTATCGTTGGATTGGCTAGGCTAGATATAACAGGTTTACCAGCCCCATGACAAGGCGATCTGAAATTCGGTGCATCGTATTGCTCTCATTTTATCTCTTTTTGTAAACTAAATGAAATAAATGCAATTCAAGAAATGAAATAAATGCAATTCAAGAAATGAAATAGGGACTTACTTTTCAGCGAAAAGAAAACCCTCTTTATCAGCTAGATCCATTTCCTGCAACAAAAGAGAAAGTGAAAGGTAAAAATTAAAACAGAAGTTATAAATAAATCAACAGGACGTTCAAATATTTAATATTATTTTTTTAAGTATCGTATGGTATAAATAGATGCTGGATGCTGCCTAAAGGATGTTAGCGGAAAAGTTAAAAATATAGCATATCACTCTTTAGAGACATTAGGTTATTTTAAGCAGGAGATCATGAAAAATAAGCACTGCTCTCGCCGGGACTCGAACCTGGACCTCTCGAATACGCGCCGAGTGTGCTTCCAATTACACCACGAAGACATGACGAAAGGAAGAAGAAAAATGTTTTATAACTTTATTATGCACTCTTCCGCAGAGTGGTGTATGTAACCCTTCTCGATTGCTATGTAGAAATCATATTACGTTAATGAATAATTATTTTTTGAAGTTATTTTTAACAATTGGTTCTATGTACTGTTGCGATTTTGATGGGAAAGAGGAGAACGTATGAATTACACTTTGTTACAAACTTAGGCTTCAGAAACTCATGAAGCTTTCTATACTTCAAAAACTCCATAATCTCTTGGGAAAAAAAAAAAAAAAAAAAAAAAAAAAAAAAACAGGTTTCGCCATATGATAAACTATAAGTAATGAGTCCTGTGCAAAAAAGGTTCATTGTTAATTTATACGATGATTGTTCTGAGCATAATGCTGCAGGGTTTTACCTTCATTACTCCATCCATACTATTATTTTGCTTTTACTTAAACTTCAGTTTTTGTCTACTTCCACTAGGATGAAAATTAGTGTATATAAGAGCACAGTTTCTTAAAAAAGGAGCCTATGACCTGACTGGTGACTATGTTATATCTCCTTGCTACTAAATTGTATAATCGACTTTAACTTCGTTAGCCGTAATTGCTTCGGGATATCTTTAGTACTTAGTAGGCTCGTGTTACTTCGTATTTGATATTTTAATTTGACTTGATCATTTGCTGTGATTTCCTTGTAAACTGAGGAGCTTGTGCCCTGTTTCATTTTTAAAGTTTTGTGTAACCGTTAGGTTAATGAGCTAAATCGTCTGTCTGTCTGTCTTCGTGGCTCTAGAAAATAGCATATAAAGTATATATATAGTATTTACCCAAAAAGAAACGTAATAATAAGCTAAAAATTAAAAACAAAATTTTTAAACCCGTCCTGCGCTATAGCTTCAGAATTAAAGTAAAATAAACTTAAAGCATCTAAAGTTAAAATCAAATTGGAATTAGCAAGGTAATTTCTCAACAATATTAATAATTTCAACCGTGTATAATAGGTTCAACACAATATCTAAAACATATAAAAATTAAAATAAGAATTCATTAGTAAAACAAACTCGAAAAGTAAAAATGCGAATACCCACTCTGTTACTGGGCTCGGTGAGCTCATTTTTTTATTCTTATATATTGGAAAATTGTGCAATTTTTGCTTTTAAAATAATTGAATTATGTTGTTCTTATGTTTCGGCTTAGATTTTTATGCTTTTAGTTAATCTGCATGCAATAGTTGTAGAATTATCAACAGTTTAAAAGGTGTTTAAGTGCGGCTAAGGCTATTTTTTGTTACTATAATAGCCATATTTGTTTACCCTCGAAACTTCGCAGAATAGTGAATTAAGTCAGGTTCTGCACCTTCGGTGTCTTTTTGCCGAGTGGAACCAAAAGTAAACTTTCAGTTTTTTTGCACCGAAAACTCTGCCTTCTTGCCTGCTGGCCGAATAGCTTGTTTTTGCTTAGAAACTCTAATTTTAATTGCAAATTTGTTTATGTTTATATTTTTCTATATTTTTCAATTTTTAATGAAGGTATTTTAAAGTTTTATATATTTTTGCCTTGCGGTGAAGAGAGAGCTGAATTAATTGAATGAGAAATCCATCTCTAATGAAATTCGAGGAAATAAGTTTAAATGAAATGCAGCAGAAAATACGTATAATTTAATATTCTGAACGAGCAAGTCATGTGGTGTCCGCATCAAATTTTTTTATTAGATTCTCCAGAAGAAAGCTTGGCTTCTTTAAAACTGATAGATATGCTTTGTTTTACACGAATAAAAATTACTAACTGGGGTACATTTCTTGGAAATTTTTTAGTACGTTCAGAAAGAGGAAGCTAGTTATTTTCAAAGGCTACTTGCCTAATTTCGAAGAAGAAAGAAACAATATTGCATTTATTTTCTCATCCGTTTTCTAAAATATGATAGAAATAACTAACTGAAATTTGTAAAAATTAATACTAATTTTAATCAAGCTTCCTTTCAATTTGATGTGGAAAATAAGTTTTCAAGACTTAGTGTTTTCTTACCTTTTTCTTTGTCATGTCTATAGCCAATGCGTAAGCATTTTTCACAGCCTTTTTTTCTATTTCTTCCTCCTTATGTTTAGCCTTTTCTTCTTCTTGTTTGCTTTTGAGGCCTGCTTCGATAGCTTTATCGTGCTCTACGTTCATGCTGTTTGCTTTATCTTTACTAAAAGATATTTCATGATTTTCCAGTTCTTCTTTAGCTTTACCTACAATTGCCTTGTCTTTTTCTGCTTCTTTCTTTTCGCTTATTTCCTTCGCATCTTTTACTAAATTTGCAGCATCTAGTTTCTTTTTGTAATCCACATGATCTTCCGCTGTTTTATCCAAGTCTTCTGAAACGCCATCTTTTTTACTAAAAAAGGTTTCTTCATCTTCCAAAGTTTTAGAATTTTTGACTTTTTCTTCTTCATATACTTTTTCTTCAGTCTTTTTTAACATTGCATCTTCGGGTTTTAGGGGCAATGTATCTTTTTCCTTCATTTCAGGTATTGCACTCTTCTCTGCTTTTTCTATATCTTTTTTGGTTTTTTTAAGTCTCTTGTCTTTTTCCACTTTTTCATGCAAAATATCTTTTTCTATATCCTTAAGTAACGAATCCGTTTCGGCTTTTTTAATAAATACATCTTTTTCTGATGATTTCTTTTTGTCTTTCACATATTCTTTCTCCAATTTTTCTTCTTCTTCAAGCATAACTTTTTTGGGATCCTTCTTTAAAATTTCTTTAGATGTTTCCAGAGCTTCCTTTACTTCAGTTTCATCAGCTTTTGCCTTTGCAGCTTCTCGTTCTTCCAGTTTTTTTCTGATGATTTCTTCGGCAGCCATTTTGGGAATTCCAGAATCCATTAATGGCTTTTCGCTCAGTTCTGGGAATTCTATCTTCGGTTTAATATGGGTTTCTTCCGTTTTTAATATTTCGGACTCAATTAAATCTTTTTTTGGCAGAACATCTTGTTTTATAACTTCTGTGTTGGTTTTTAATTCTTTTTCTTTCAAAATTTCAATATCTTTTGTTTTTTCTTTCGACTTGTTTTCTATATCAAATTTAGGTTCTATATGAGGTATTGTTATTTTTGTCTTTTCTTTATCTTCAGCTGTAGTAAGCTGTTTAACATATTCTGGATCAAATTCTTCTAGAGGTCTAACGGAAATGAGTTTCACATACATGCGATGATCATCGCTGCTAGGATACTTTAAGATATTAGTTTTAGCGAGAAATTTTTTTCCCATTAGTTCAATGATTTCAGATTTGTCTCTTTTTTCAAGATCATCGTCCCCTGAAAGATATAATTTTCAACTTAATACAACATTTATAAAACGTATATTAATGACTCTGTTTCAGTGAAATAAAAGTTGCAAAGTTAGAAACAGAACTTAAAGATAAATTATTTTTGTTTCATTAAACTTATATATATTTTTTAAATTCTATTATGCAGTTTAATTTTTGTAGTCTTCAAATTTTTTTTAGCCAAAAGGAGCATTAGACCAAAAGGGCTGTTAGTCTCAAGACGGCATTTTGATTCGCTTCACTGCCATCAGATATTATCGGCATGTATTATATTTAAAGAAAATAAATAATGAAGAATCCGCGTGAATGCATGAATGTTTCTCGCATCAGGAAAAAACATTGGTACCTAGAGCCATCAAATTTTGAATAACGTAATCCTCCTGCGTATATAGGCATCTGGAAGCCCGAGTTTGGAATTTGAAATTTGTTTTATTATCGATTTCATATTTTGTAACAGTTTAACGAATTTTAGACTAACAAACTAGACAATTTCAAAGCGAGCAATGGCAACACTACGAAATAAAAAACACATTTTTATCTCCAGCGAGCAAGACTCTATCGGAATTTCTAAAGATATGTTTTATTTTATATTGTGATATTGTTACTGAATTGAATTTTATGGCTTAAGTGCGAAGAACATGACATTGAATAAATAAAGTTAATGCAAAAAACGTTATTCTCGAATTCTTATATACAATACAAAAAGAACTTCTTTTTATATCCTAATACAAAGTAAAGGAAGAACTGTAATCGCGAAAAATTTCGGGTTTCAGATTTCAATGTAAATATCCATTTTGACCATTCGCAAACCCATTTTGATCATTTTGATTTTTTTTTTTTTTTTTTTTTTTTTTTTTTTTTTTTTTTTTTTTGCGTGGCATCTGTACACGCAGACAGAACAAAAGACTGTTGATCCCAAAATAACTTGTAAAAATTCAGGTTGAATTTTTGTTACGTCTATACGTACATATGCATGTATGTATTTCGCATCATTCATAAACGATAAGCCGTAGAACATTGAAATTTTGTGTATGGAACTTCTATAACATCTGGTTGTGCATCTCCCTTTCCTATCATCAAAATCAAAAGTATATATGACATAATAGCAGGAAAAAGACGGAGCAGTGTTGATGCGCACATAGATCCATATTGAATTTCGGTTGCGTAGTATGCAAATATGGAAAGTTTGCAATATCTAAGAAACTTGACAGTCGAGGAGATTTTAATTCCCTTTTTATTTCCAGTTTACATATGTGGCCACAGTTCCTTTGGCAATCTAGTTGTGCCTATTTCAAGAACATTTACATTTTGAATATTATTGCGATAGCAAGCAAGACGGCGAAATTACATCCTAGCAGGGCAGAAAGCGAAACTGAAGTGCGTAGTTATGCACGATGGAAGCATACGAAGAGAAAAGTTTTGGTTTGAGTTAAAAAGTTTGTTTCCAATTGTTACATTATCGCGCTGCGCAGGCCATGCAAAATGGAATGATCTAGAAATGACGCAATCGAGAGAAGTTATTATGATTTTTAGAACAGAGAGGGAGAATTAAAGTTTTATATGTTAGTTAAGTTATATACCCACCCACCCTTACCGAGTTTAAAAGTCCTTACTCGGCTGCTTTTTACTTTCGCAATCGTTCGTCGTAGACATATAATTCCAGTTACAGAACTGTTTTAATTGACGAAAATATTCGTAATTTGGCAATTTCAAATTTAAAAAAAAATTATTTTGGACAATTGAAGAATTCTAACGTTTAATGCGATCTCCATGTTCATTTACTTATATTTGAAAAAGTTTTATACTTGTGGAAAAATAAAATTGTAAGAAGTTTGACTTCCACACGACAAAAAGTAACCGGGGTATTTAATTTAAAAATTTGTAATTTTTTATGTCATTTTCAACTCGCCTTGAGTGCAGTAAAAAATGTTAATAATTTGGTAGGCATACGAGGAAGTCATGTGGTGTACACACCAGACTTTTTTTTTTTTCCTTTTTGAACTACTATGTGTTTTGTCTATAAAATTAAATTAGATTGTGACTTATTCATGAAAATTTATGCTAGTTTCTTACAGCAAGGCACAGTTTACGTTACCTTAAGCTTAATGAAATTTTGTTAAGTATAAAATGCACTTACTTTTTTATTGTTTACTTAAAAATGTGTCTATAACAATGGTTTTTGAACATTTAAATAATTGGCTAAAAAAGGGGTATGCCGTGCAACTGGTATAGTAGTTAGTATCGCTGAGTGCCATGCATAAGGGCCCGGGTTCGAATCCGGAAGAAGGCATGGATGTTTGTAAATGTACATTGTTCGTGCGGCATGGGGGCGCTTTAAACATGCGGCGAGCGGAAAGGCCTCTCGAGAGGTTGGTAGTAGGGGAAGAGGGGTAGAAGACCGTCGGAACCGTTCCCCCGGGGGCCATCCATCAAAATTGGGGGCGGAACTCAGCTAAATCGTGCTGTCACCTGCAAGGTGCTCAAGGCTTTTGCCAACGATAGGCGTAATCTTGCGCTCCTTGCCACGAGGAATTTCTTGGGCTTGGGCTGACTATACTCGACCGCTTCCTGTTCATACGACTAAACTGTGGGTTAAAATTTTTCTGCGATTCAACGTGCTAAGAGATGGAGGATTCTGGAGTGCTCCATTCCCAGTTTTCCAAGAAAAACAGCGATGGCTCTATTTAGACGTCTGACTGGACGTGATTGTTTGCCAGACCACCTCGACAGAATTAGGTGGTGAATTTCCTAAACTGTGCATTATGTGACTCCAATGAGCCGATGGTTTTTGAACATTTAAATAATTGTATTGCACTTTCTCGGTATGAGGACATTGTTAAAAAGTACTGGAGAGTCCGTGAACTAATGGCTTAAGCACTAATGTTTGGCATTTGTTAAACAAATGAATATTACTTACGACAAATCAAGCGACTTACAAATAATCTGTATATATATTTCTTAATAATACGATTAAAACTTCTAACGTTAGTATCTATAGTAATAAGCGAAAACCTTATGAACAAACGCTTTCGGAGCAAATAACTAACCACTGAGGAGGTGTAATAAAAGAGAAAATGTACTTATCGATTACCGACAGCATTTATAACATTACAGCCAGTATCAATTACTGAAAGGAAAATAATCGTTATGATTGGTAAATAATCGTAAGTATATTATTGCGTTTTGCGATTTTAGTATTCCCTCAGCGAACAATGAGCAATAAGTAACACTAGTAATTCGACTCGAGTTCAGATCTCAGCGATTTTCGTTTCTTGTCCATGTATACCATGAATACTAGCATGTTTTCCTTAGAAAACCCTCTATAAAGGCCTTTCTCCTTATTATGTAAAGGGACCTCGTGAGCTTTGCTATAGTTCAGATAATTCAATTTTTTCGTCTTTCCAATGCCAGTCATCTTGTTCTTTGTTCCTTTCGGTTGCTGTTCATAAATAGTAGCATTTGATATTGTTAAAATTCTATGAATTTATATCGTCATAAATTACAAGGTCTTATGTCTGCTTATCTAATTATTACACTATGAAGTTACAAATGTGAGATTTCAGTTTTTACGAAAATGTAATGACAGCTATGATTTATTTCTGCATGTTAATAGTAATAACTGCTGTCCATTTAATGTTAAGTATAAAAAGATCTGTCTATTTAAATGTTTATCGTACAGAAAGACCTCCACGTACGAATTCGGCACTCAGATTCTTTAGGGAAAGGTATATGATATGTGCAATCACAAAGTCGATTTTTAACATTAAGACTGCTACAATCAAGAAGTCCTGTTGTGCCTCTATAAAATTCCACTCGAACGGTGAGTGGTTCGAAGAGGTGCTATTGAGTACCCACCTCGTTCTCCTGATTTGATACTTCTGGACTTCTACTCATGGGGGGACCGTCAAGAATGATCCGTTTTGATATAAACCAGAAGCAATCGACGAGCTAAGTGAAAAAAATCGTAGAATATTGTACCGCCATTACACCAGATACACTAGCAGCCATCGTTCGGTGAGCAATTAGGCGCCATGAGCGTAGTAAAAATCTGCTGGTGGTCATTTCAAACATCCCCTCTCAGTCGCAAAGTCAAATTTGTCACGAGATATGAACTAGCAAACAGTGGGTTCACTTTTTTGTGCCCCTCTATATATTAAACATACGGAAACCTACGAAAATATTCGAGCAGCCAAGCCCGTTTGCCGGATTTCGACTCGGCCGTTGATGGGTGAATAAATGCTTTGGTTTCAGATCCCAGAAATAATTCAGTTAATTTAAGTACGAACTACCCAATACTTTTTCCGAATGGTGTTGTACAGACTATGAATAATTAGTAGAAACGAATTTATTAGTAAACGTATAACTGTGCTCTAGATATGGGTATTTCCAAATATCTTAATATTAAATTTAAGTATACAAAAATAACTACATAATGTTCCCACATTATGTTAGCTATAATTAAATGTAACTTTAAATTGTCGGCTAAATTCCTAGGGATATTATTTCTTGAAACAAATATATTACAAGGAGTTATTTAAATGAATATTGTCCCTTTTAAGTTGGTGAGTTAAGCTGCTTTCAAACTCTACAGTTGAAAAAAGGAAAAATTTTTTTAGGGACTAAATTAAATACATAATTTCAGTGATAACCTATTTATATACTTATATATTTAAAAAAATTTTAATATGGCAACTATAAAAAATGACAACAGTAAAAGATTAGTTTTTTTTAAATGATTTAATGGCTTTACATAATGCATTGTACATGCTACAAATAAATTATTTATGTGCCTGAATTTAATTTGTAAGGGTACCCGACCCTCTAGCAAGACAAAGCAATTAAAAAAGATGGAAATCTACCCTCGGCAAATCGGTGGTCAGAATACTCGTCTGTCGACAGCTCATGAGCTTCCGGTTTCCTTTCCTGTCGAAACAGAGACGCTTTTGTAATTTTTAAACATTTTAAAACTCTTACTTATTCTTGAAAATG